TGTGTCAGTTATAGCATAAGAATCTCGAAAAGTGGGCCAGATCTGATTGGTCCGTCTCACATAAACCGAGTATTAATGTGATACAAATGAATGTGTGTGCTCAAAGTACCTATCATTTCCATGACTTTAATTATGGAAATGTCTAGAAACAGGGAAGAGGAATGTGAGTCATTGCCTGTCAGTTTTGTGAAAGCATTTTAGGTTTTTTTTCTGTTCAAGTAGCCTTGTTTCTTTAAGCAGTCAGGTGAATGAATACTAGAGATGAAAACCTGCTAGAATCTTCTATTTATGTGTGCACACTGTGCTTATGTGCTCATATTTTGTATTAGTGTAGTGTTCTGTTGTATATAACTTTTAAACAGAAATGGATATTGGCATAATAGCCCAGGAATGATCACAAATGAAGGAACCTGGATGTCCAGATGATGTCTAGAGAGAGTGTGCTTCCCAAACCAGGGTGTGCTATATAGTTCTTGAGGCTAGATTTTAAAATGCAGAAAAACAGTTATTTCTTGAGATGGTGTTTCAAATATTTGTGTCTTGTCTACTGCATCCCTAAAATAGGTTTGTAACAAATTCAGTAGTTGTTTTTAGAAGGCAAATTTTTTTTTTCAGGGCCAAGAAGAACCTTGTGCAAGCTTGTATTTCAATAATAAGAAAGGTTGGAGGTAGAAACATCAGTTGGCTGAAAAATTGTATGTTTTAGTTTTGGGGTTTTATGCTGTCAGTTGATTTTGAACATACTTAAGCATCTCTAGTTCAAAATTCTTACTATACTGCTTCTGAAATTACACTGAATAAACACATTCTTGTTGCTAACCCTTTATGCACATAAGTGTTTCCAGCTGAACTCAGAATTCTATTTTTCTTTCTCTTAGTCTTTGCATCATTGGTGAATTGTGGTATAGAGACAACCTGAAACTTCATTATTTTACAACTGCTTATTTTTTTCAGTGCAGTGTTTTCTTTATAAGGAGAGACTCTTTCTTTATTATATTGACCATACAATAAAAAAATTCATTTGCCTCAATCCCATATAGTAAAAAAATTCATTTATCTCAATCAACTTGGTTGATTTAAGGTAGGAACTACTCTCTCAACATGCAAGTGTGGAGGATAGGGTCTCAGTGCAAGACACTTCCCTCATGCCAGGTTCTCAGTAAAAGATACTTAAGATACACTTTTGATAACTCTGTCCCAAAGCTGTTTATATAAAGAGAACTGTTTCTTAGTTTCAGAATTCTGTGGTGGTGTAGTTTCTTGAAAATGTTGAAGTGGTATGTCTGAAGCGTATTTCTTGGGCTTTCCATCTTTCCTCATGTGTTTTAATATGTCATGCTTGTCCTGGCATACTAAGAATATAAAAATCATCTTGAAAGAGTAAATATTTCTGTTTTATTCTCCTTAAGTATTGGTGAGTTTTGTTTCTTTACACTGTAATTTAAAATAGTAGGTTTTGATTAAATGTTACAACTGGTAACTTCTAATGAAAGCCTTAATAATTTTTCATAATCTAATACTAGAATACTGTGCTTCATGCATTTAAAAGTAAAATGTAATGAACTGTTTTGGAAACTAGATCATTGCCTTAGAGTGATTGTGAGTCTACCTGTTTAAATAGCATTTCAGACAGAGTAGACTGTCACAGTCCATAGTGGATAATGAAATGATACACAGACCACTCTTTAGTGCAGGAAGCCTCACTTCCATATGAAAGCCTACACTGTGTTGATACTGTATTTTATCCAGTTATCCCAGAATGATGCTGCTCATTTTCTTTATGTTCTACTTTGACAAACGCTTTAAGAGAATAGAAGGTGAGGTGTTGAAAAATAACTTGAATCCTGAAGTTACTTTGGCATGTCATCTGGTTTGAGCTAGACAGAAATAAAAGCTATTTAAAATCTGCTCCCCTGCCAATGTTTTAGGAATGTAAGTGGTTTACTTTATGGCATCACATCAGAACCATTATACTTTCCCCATTTTTTACATCTAACTCAATTCTGAATGACTCCTTTAAGAAAAAAAACTCCAACCCAACTAAACAAAACATACACAACCCCTTACCCCTTATGCTGGTTTTACTTCTTGTTATAAATAAAGATGTTGTATCCTTAGAAAGGTGTGATAACTCCCACTTTGATCATAATGTGCTAAAGTGCAGTGCATGTTTGCTGTGATCAACAACAGTGAGAAAGAAAATGGCTATAAAAAGGAAAATGTGAAGTTTTTAATTGGAATGTGCACTCTTTTTTGAAGTGATTAATGTTTTGAGTTATTTAGCCAAGAAGTTCATTTACTGCTTTCTGACCATTTTGTCTCTGTCCTCATTTATTGAATTAATTCTTTAATTTGTGTCCTTTGGGATGTCTTCCAGTTGTGGAACTTGTACTAAGATTTCCTTTTACAGAACTTGCGACTAAATATTAGCTGTTGCTGAATGAGACACTAACTTTTGTGTGCCTTTTGCAAGTAAATGTTGACGGGCTCATAGGAAATGCAGCTGACGTTAGGAAGCTTGGGTGGGGACTACAAGGAGCTGGCAAGTACTACAGGGTTCAGTGCCAGACATGCTGACACAACAGTACTTCACTTGTAAAATTTTTCTTTAGGCTGCTAATTCTGTCTTCAGAGTAACTGGAACCAAAGCAGTGTCTCTGATGCCAAGTTAAAATAGCTAAAGTAACACTTTATGGGAAATTGAGAATGCTTTCCATGGCTTAGATCCTCAGAAATATTAGTAAAAAGAGCAAGATTCTCTCTTAATGAAAGGGTGTGTTATGAACAGTGCCATGTAATGAATGCACTGCAAAACAAATCCATCTAACTAGGGTGAGTGTTAGAAACAGCTCAAAGAGGGAAAGGCTAGCATTGTAAAGTCCCTGTAAATACTGTGCTCTGAGTGATTTATATTGCAGTTTCAATTTATTTGATTTGCTAGTTCATAGTCATATTTCATAAGGCACCCTTTTAATAGCTTCCGTTAGCTTTCAAATAAAAATTGTTTTCTTCAACTGTATCTAGACATTGAGAAATGCTATGTGAGCACTTCTACAGCAGTTTGAGTATGTCACCTTAAGTATAATGTGTTTTGCTTGAGTTTATATTATTTCTGGTCCATGTTACAGCTTAAGAAGTAGTAAGGCAGAGCTTTGAAGGGGGATAAAAGTGGAATACAGCTTAGGTTTGCTTTGCAGAAATTCAGGCAGAGTATGGGTTGCTGCTACCATGCTGTCTCCAGTTTTGTATGTGGGTGGACTTGCAGGAGGCATCATGGAGAGGAATCTTGCTGGGGAACACATGCCTGGCTTACAGAATATAAAAACTGCTACAGTCTTGGTGGAAGGATGCAGCAATATTACATAAACATATTGGTTCTGATTTAATTTCATCATCACCCTTAGATTTTAGGAAGTGCTTCCTTTAATTCCTTAAGAGTGCAGAACTCAAAGCAAGTGGTGGAAGAAAGGAGATTCAGATGATGAATTTAATCTGTTCAGTGTTTTTGCAGTGTGGTGTTATTGCCTCTTTTTAGGTAGTCGCATGCATTCTGGTCTCCCACAAAAGTAGAAGTTCAAGTAGTAGACTTGAAGCAGCTTTGCTAGAGCAACTGCATGGCAGTATCTTGCATCCATGGGAGACATTGGCCTCTGCTCACCTCAGAATTACAGATCACCTCTGAGGTCTCCTCTGACCTATTTTATCAAGTTAAAATGTAATAAAAGTAATGTATAATAAGAAGAAAAGACTGTTTTTAAAATCTTGGAAGGTTTTTTTTTTTGCACGAAAATGGTCATGTAAAAGAAAAAGTGGATTGAGCAGTTCTTTCTCTGAGATCACCTTAATCATTTTTCATAACATCCCTTATCAGTTTGGCTGTGCAATGTTGGACATTGATGTCTTTCAGACTAAGATTTGGCTTTTCTTGAAGAGAAGCACTTAGTTCATTTTTAAATCTACAAAATGTAAACTGGTGCTTTCTGAAAGCTATGTAGCAGGTAACTATGTAGCCCATGACTTGACTAAATCAAGCTGTTCAACTGAGCATTGATTTTTTTGTGTAGCTCTTGTGGGGGATCTGTTCTCATATGTTTCTGGGCATTCTGTAGCACATCTCTGAAATTTCCCTTCTGTACTGTCTGATTTCTTCCAAATTATTACCTGGATTTTTGTCCCCCCAAGTATGTGAATTCTCTTCCTGAACTAGATCCTGTCTTTGCCAGTATGAGTGTACACATAAAGGTATGCGTGTCTTAGCTCCATAAAAGAGGCCGGAGGACATGTCTGGAAAAGAGATTTAAACAAAAGGTTATTTTTCACTGAGACAATAACAGATAAACTTTGGAGAACATTGTCTTTATCTTGGTCACAAATTTGTTGAATGAAGGAGGATCTGAGAAATGCTATGGTGACTCTTTGCTTCCAGAGAGAAGTTCCTTTGTTGAATAAAAATTGTGCAGTATCACTGAAGTGATCTGGTCAGTGTCCAAGATTTGAACTGTCTCAGGGGATGTATTGCTGACATTCTCTATGGCCTGTTTAGGCATTTCTGTTTACAGATCTGTAGTGATCTATTTGCAGTGCAATGAGGCTGCACTTCCTGTGGTTGAATGGTGTTGCTTAACTGTGGTCAGCTGAATTCCTTGGACAGGAGTTGGATTTTTCTAATGCAATGTCAACGGATTTTGCCAACAGTAGCTGGCAATGAAGGCACATGCAAGGCTAGCATGCATTTATGATGGTATATTACATATCGCGAACTCTGTTCTTAATCATTTTCTGCATCATCTGACAAAAGTGAGCTGCAAAAATGGCTTTGCAATTATGTATTACAACTTCCATATGGGTCTTTACTAGTAAGCAGGAATTTTTATGAAGTTTATGGATGGACATTTGCTTTGATTTATGAACAGTTTCAGAAACGTAATAGCTGATACCAGTGTTCTTAGACACTGACAAGAAAGTTTGAGTATCAAACTTTTTTCTTTTTTTTTTTCCAGATGGAGCAATTGTCAGATGAAGAGCTTGACCATGGTGCAGAAGAAGATAGTGATAAGGAAGATCAGGATCTCGACAAGATGTTTGGGGCCTGGCTGGGTGAACTGGACAAACTCACACAGGTGAGGGAGGTTTCACTCATCTCACGGAATAATTTTTTGTTGGTATTACGTTTCTTTTCAATTGAATACCAACTGCTTGACTACCACTTGCAGCAAGGCATACAGTAGCCTGTGACCAGTTCAGTAATCTTTAAAGGTTTATAAATTGCTTGTTTACCCCATCCTGAGATTGTTACATTCATTTTGCACAACCTGCTGGTTTGACCTATCACAAAGGGTATAACAGTTCCTTCCGAGAATAATAGAATTGCTATTTTGTTCTTACGTATGTAGAGCAACATGGACTTCAGCTGACAAGAGGGAGGCTGTCTCCAAACATCTGGATTGACATTGTTCAGCTGTGACAGCATTTATCTGTTGCACCTAAACAGCAATAAGAAAAAATTGTGAATGCTGCCAGTGATGATGTAATGAGATACCCTGATACACCCTCAAGGACTCACTATTGTTCCAGAGTACTCTTCCTGCATCAGTAAAGCAGCTGATAGGACATCTTTCGGTCCTTCCTTCTTTCTAGTGCTTTTCCTTTGCTTCACAAGCAGATACTGCATTTTGCATGATGTGCTGCACTCCTGGGGTATAATCAGCCATTTCTCTGTGACTGCCTGCAGTAAGTGTTTGAGCTGTGTGAACTGGCCCTTCTGAATAACATATTTGATCTTCTCCCTGTTTGTCGTGTAGAATTAAGCAGAGGTATGATACGTGAAGGTTCATTAAGCTAGAGAAGAGCCAGTTTTACTCATCTTCATCTTATCTGAAGACTGAAGGAAAATTGAGCTAATCATGTAACGGGATTTCAAATTCAGGCTCATCTCTGTTACTGTCTCTGCCATTCAAGTTCTAAATGTATATAGCACTATTAGGGAAAACTTCTTTTTTCTGAGCTCACATATGCAGGGCAATAAAGAATCCTGCCTTCTGAGATGTGTGGAAGAGTGTGACATTAATATGTATATACTAATTCTTGCTGGTTTTTCACTTACTTTGAAGGGTTTTTAATGGTGTGAACCATTTTTGAAGGCATGGGTTTTGTAAATCACCTTGAGTGAGGATATTCACAGAGGAGCACAATGGGTCTTAGACCCATTAAGCACTGCTTAATTTCAGATGTTCTGCAGACCTGTTGAGCTTCAGTGACAGCAAGATGCCCGTTGTAACACATTCCACTCCAGGGGCAGAAGCCCTGTCACATTCCACTCCAGGCCCTGTCATGTACTTCTTGGGTCAGCAGCTGGATCACAGTTGCCCTACTTATAAAATCCTTGTATTTATTATAGCCATCATGTTAGCCATCATAACAGTTCAATGGGTCTTAGATCCTTTGTTCGCTGACCCATTTTTTTAAAGGTATGAACAGCCTAGAAATATAAATGTATTTGTGGCTTATGCTTTACTTGAGGCTTAGCTACACTATTGACATGCAGATTTCAGGGTGATGTCTCAGTTTGTTGTTGGTCCATGCAAATTTCTTAAAATCTACTAAGAGGTACTTGATTGTAGTATCCACATTATTTGTTTCTTACCTTCATATTACCGTTCAAGACAATCGGCAACATAGCCTGACAGTTGCCCTTCTATCTTTCACAACTACTGAGAAATGACATTTCCCCCAAAACTTCTAATGACTTCATATTGTTCTGCATAAACAAGTTGACGGAGTTGATTGTGTCTCAGGTCATTTATTTGGACAGTCATCAAATCTTAATGGGGCTGTTCCAATGAAGTCCCAAATAAAGGGAGATGGTTAGCATTAGTGAGATCCAAAGTTCATTATCCTGTAGTTTCAGTATTTGTTGCTATCTATCAGCTGGACTTCAAGAGCACTAGGAGGAAAGGTTTTTGTCCCTGATGTCCTTGATCTTTAACTTCTTTTTAGATTTCCTAGATGTTTATTTTTAAGCGATTTAAAATAAGACCCAGATGTAACTGCTTTTTAAAAGATCTGAAATCATTTGAATGCCCATGGGAATCATTTGAATTCACTTTCCCTCTTTAAGTCTTGGTCTAACAAAAGTCACAAAATCTGCAGCATGTGAGCAATATCTGGTGTTGATGAAGGGTGTCTTAACATTTATTCTGCTTAAGTTACTCTGCTACATGATGCAGGTTAAATGAAAAAAAAAATTACCTTGCTTCTCGTGATTATTTAGAATTAAGCTTTTGGTGCTGTTACAGTTTTTAGCAGTTCTCCAAATTGCTGGTTTAGCAGTTATGGAGAATGTGCTCAGATAATGGTGAGGGCATATCACATGTGTGTCAAATGATCTGCAATAACTTTAATAAAGCCAGCAAAACATGGTTGGGGTGCTTTTAACCAGAATATATTTGTTTCACAGGAAATATTTTGTAGCAGTCAGTGAGTTCGGTCTGAAGGAACGGGGCCTAACTTGCCTCTTCTGTCTCCAGTTTCCCTGATGTCTCTAGGGTTATAGATTTTTTTTTATCTTTTTTTTAAGTTCAGGCCAAGCTGAGGAGAGAAGGGAGCTCAGGAAGAGTAAACATTAGGGGAAAAACTAGTGCATTTGATCTTTTTAACAAAGGCTTGAGTGAAGATGTAGAAAATGAACATAAAAAGTTTAGGTGAGAAAATTTATTCTGTTGAAACTAGAAAACACTTTTCCTTCAGGCAAGCCTATCTTCAGGAACTCTTTTATCTGTACAAGCCTTGCCTAATTTCAGATGTTCTGCAGGCCTGTTGAGCTGACATTGTGACAGCAAGAGCTGGATTCCCTATGTAACACATTCCACTCTAGGGCCAGCAGCTCCTGACTGTACTTCTTGGGTCAGCAGCTGGATCACAGTGCCCTACTGCTTGCTACTTACAAAATCCTGGTATTTATTGTAGCACTATACCCATATTAGCCATCATAATGTAACAAGTCAGTGTATTGGTTAGAAAGAGTTTCTTTTTTAACCTATGCTAGTTTTCCTAAAAAAAAATGTGCCCTACATAAACTGGCTAAGGTTGGTTTTCATAACTTAATGTTATTCACAGGAAAGACTATGGAAAAAAATTCTAAATTTAGTGAATTTAAGTCCCTATTAATAAAATAGGATTCTTCATTGAATATTTTTAAGCACTTACACCATGATTGTGCTCATAATCTAATGGTGGATATCTTAGACCATATTTTAGACTCTTATCCCAGTTTGAATGTTGTGCAGTTTCATGCAGAGAGATAGTTACAGGTAAGTCAGCTGTCTGTTTCAAAATGAGCTAGTCTCTAACACCATTCAAAAAAGCATTTGGAAAATGCTTCTATCCTTTTGATTCTGAAACAAAGCAGAATTTGTTTAACAACTTTTCTTCACAGCATATCTGAAGTTAAATCTCTGTAGTATGACGATGTTTGTTTTCAGTCTAAAACCTGAAAAACGGGTGCTTTTATATATACCAGTAACTTCTGAAAAATTTCTCTTTGAGAAAATTAATTCTCATTCATCTTAAGGAATTGGACAAGCAAATCTTTGTCAAATTTTGTTTTGCCCTTTTTTTGATCTTTTTCAGAGTTTGGATGCAGACAAGCCTGTGGCACCAGTGAAGAGGTCACCCCTCCGCCAGGAAACCAATCTTGCCAACTTCTCATATCGCTTCTCCATGTACAATTTGAATGGTTTGTCAAATTATTTGCCACATATATAGTTTAAGAAAAGTACTAGTCTAAGGAAAAAAAAAAATCCTACTCCAACTACATATTAAAATATTCTAAAATGTAAGAACATTTGAATACACTTATAGCTGAGGTGAGAACATATTTGCTGAAGGCATTGCTTTCTGGTGTCCTTTTTTTTCAAATATTTGTGTCTCCTAAAGCATTATCTTTTACAACACTTAGTATTTGAGAACTGTAGTGTAGTATTTGTATAAAAAAGCTTGTTCTGGGATCTGGTCTCATGAAGGAGTGACTTAATGTCTATCTGTTAACCAGGAAGAAAGAGCATCTTGCTTTATGTAACAGAATGCAGGAATATAGCTACAGAACAGTTTCAGGATAAACAGAAGGAAACCTTAATTTAAAGGTCTGAGTATGTATATAGTGTTTTTGGTTTGGTTTTGTTTTTTTTAAAGCTGTTGCATTACTTTAGCAGAAAATGCATTGCAAAACATCTGCACTTTTTCGAAAAGTGAGGCATGATATTACGCAAATGCATTCTTACATTCCATTCACAGGAAAGCAGTTTAAACTTTTCATATGTAGTCTGAACATTCATAGACTTCTTTTGCTGACAAATGAGTTTAACCTAAATAGTGTGAAAGTTGCACTGGTCAAGGATAGTGCAAATGAATTTCAGTTCAGCAGTGCGCAGATATTTTGCACTACAGATGGAAAAAGAAAGTGCTGCTTCCTTTGCTCTCTTAACTATTAGATGTGATAACAAAGTGAGGCATTACAAACGAAATAACTGCACATACTGACTATTCTTATTTGTTGCAGAAGCCCTGAATCAGGGGGAAACTGTGGATCTGGATGCCCTCATGGCTGATCTCTGTTCCATAGAGCAGGAGCTCAGCAGCATCGGCTCTCATTCCGCAAACAATGCTGCAGTGAAACGCCTTACCACAGAACCCAAAACTCAGAAACCACCTGCTAGTCGACCTTCCACTAAGCACAGCAGCATGAAAGGATTGTCCTCCTCTGCTAAGCTGACTAAACCATCGCATGCCAACGTGTCTCTGGATGACATCACTGCACAGTTAGAGAAGGCCTCCTTGAGCATGGATGAAGCAGCCCAGCAGTCTGTTGCGGAAGACACCAAGCCAGTGGTTACTGCCCAGCACAGGAGGACAGCATCTGCTGGCACAGTGAGCGATGCTGAGGTGCGCTCCATCAGTAACTCCTCCCGTTCCAGCGTGACCTCGGCAGCTTCCAGCATGGACTCCCTGGATATCGATAAGGTGACAAGACCTCAGGAGCTGGACTTGACCTCTCAAGGGCAACCGATCACCGAGGTAGGATGTCACTAATTCAAGATTTTTGTTTGGTTTGGGTCTTTCTCTTCAAACTTACACCTCATTCCCTATGCTGACACTCATAGCTAAACATCTGCAGTGCAGTGGGGTTGATTGAACTGCCCGTGTTGTAGCTACTTCTTTCTCTGGTTTTGGTTCTGTCTAAAAGGAAACTTCTCATAAAGAATGTGTTTAGGTTTTGGTTTTTTTAGGACCTTTCCCCATCTCTTCCTCCTCTAAAGCCCTCGTGCATTTTAATGGTTTTATAGTTAATATTTTTATTCCAAGTAAATATCACATATTGCCTTTAATTTAAATCTGAGGAGTGCACAGCTGTGGAAAAAAGAAAGCACAATTGACAAAATTCTATTCCTCTTACAGTACAGTTAATACCTGAAACACACGGAGCAATCTACAGGTTTACTATACCAGTAATTTGCTGCTACTTAATACTCCTGTTAAATGTATGACAGGAATAGCTCTTTGAAGCAATACACACTACAGAAAAATTCCTGGGCTGCAATACAACATTCACAGATACTACTTTGGGATTTTGATACTTTGACAGTGATTAATTGGAGAGGAAACTTCAATAAGAACAGCCAGTTTGGTGAACATTGCAAGTGCTGCTGACTTGAGAGAAAATGTGGAAGATGTTACAGTGAATTTTGAGAACTTAAACTTAGAAGTTCTCTTGTAGAAATACTTTCTGAAACAGAAATCTGACCTCTTAAAATGTCAGTTGTACTAATATGCATGATGTCTTTCATGAGAGAAAACTGGAACAAACTGAGTTTATTCTAATCAATAATTAAAACAAATCTGAATGTGCTGTACTGAAGGCATGGTTCTACACATCTGCCACAGAAGTTCATCTGATGTAAAGTGAACAATGCAGGCTTGTGAGTCTTACGATCAACTCATTGTGGTCACACTTTGATTTAAATCTTCATTTGAAATGGTGAGAAATGAATGACAGTTTAGGTGAACTTTCTTTTCATATAAAAAGTTTGCGTTCAGTATGCCTTTATTGGAGATTTCCTGTTGAGTGAAGTGGAACAGATAGAAATGTGCCCTTTGCTCTTTGGAAAGTTAAAATGCAAACCTTTGCATTATTGCTGTAGGCCTAAGTGTTCAAGCCCAGCCTATGACAGTCATTGATTATATTGTTGTTTGTTTGAGAATAATTTTCTTTTTATGGCATGATAAAGCTTATTTTTGATTTGTTGTTTTTGGGTGGGTTTCTTTTGTTTTGGGTTGGTTTTTGTTGTTTTTTTTTTTCATCCCCAGCTGTTATTTATGATTATTTGTCTGTCTTTATGATGTAGAAAGTTAGTCTTGCATTTTTGTCTCTTCTCAGGCTGAAAAGATTACTTTTATAAATTAGTTGCTCTAGCTTGCATAGCATAAGAAAAGCATGAATGTTGCATTTTTTGATTTTTAATGCAAGGTGTTTTCTGCAGTTGATCTTGCAGGTCTCCCTCTACATTTTCTGTTTTACTTTGGGAGTTATATGCTTGAGGCATCAGTAAAATTGCCCTTCTTGTCTCCCAGTTTTTTTCAATCTTTTGTGTCATGAGTGATCAACAAACCACCTGCCGCCCTTAATTACCTTGATGTTAATGAATCAAGAGACAGAGGTCAAGAAGTTGCTTTGTCTTCACAGGAAGCTAATCTGTATTGCTGCAAGTGTTGCAGTTGCTGTTTCAGTTGCTTTCTGAGCTCTTGGCCACTGACTGCAAGGCTCAAAATCATGCCCAAAAGCTTTTCTCAAAGACATGTGAGGGCTGCCTTTGTACAAACGCAGTGATTGCTTCTCATATAAGAATGTGGCTATTGTTTCTCTGCCCAGATAAGTTGATAAGAATGATTGATTCCTTTGAAGGAGGTAACCAGAAAGTGTCAGTAATTTGAAATCCAGATTCTGCTCTCATCTTGAGAGCAGAAACCTCTGCACTCATTAACCATGCTGCTTGCTTTGGCTCCATTCCTTTTAATTTCAGTAGCCTGAGGAAAGTATTCAATTCTTAGAAATTGTCCCTAGGTTTACAGAATTGGTATTCAACTATTCAGTATTAAAATTGTTATGTGACGGGATGGGACTTCTTACAGAGAAGTTTCTTTTCTCATCACTGGTGAACAGGAAAAGGGAAATGACTTTTTTTTTTTTTTTTTTTTTTAGTTTGTGACAGATTTTGTGGTAGTGTTTTTTAAATGAATTTAGCTTTTAAATGGATTCTTTGGAAGAATTGTTGGGTATCAACAATGCTGTTTATTTCCTCCGTCATTCATTTAGTGCCCAAAAACTAGTTTAAGTGTTTATTAATCCTCTTGGCTAGGTTGTGAACCAAAACACCTTGTACTAGTAGGGCTGAATTGTAGCCTCCCACCCACACAGCTGACTCAATGGTGCTGTTTCTAATAGAAAACATCCCTCTGAGGAAATAGGCTTTGAAGAAGTTCTGATGTCCATATAGGGAAAAACTCAACAGTTTTTATGCAGAAAGTGGGAGAGGCTATTTATTCATGGTCACAGCAGATCTGTTTTGAGATTTGTTATTCTGAAGTAGTGCTTCAAGTTGGCTCTTTTCTTTTGCCTGTCGTCCTTGAGACTGCCTGTAGGTGAGCTGACCTTTAAAATTTTTCTTTCCTGCTGTGGCTCTTCTAAAAGAGGTCAGTGTCTTGGCAGCTCTACCCTTTTGACCTGACCGAAACTTTGTCTTCTCCAGGCAGTACAGGTACTTTAAAAAGTCATCCTTTCTGCTGCAACTTCATGCTATGCTCTTCCTGAGTAAAATGGAAGAAAGTTTTGATGGGAGGAAATGCTTGTCTGAAAAAGGAAATTAGGCTTTGCAGTTATAAACTTCAGTATTCTATCTTAAGAAATACTTCTGCTGTGTATTTAAGAGCTCTCTGACTTGGCAGTGCAGGAAAATCCTGTAAAAGAGCAGTCGTGTACTGGCCCACTGAAGGTGTGTGTAGTCTAGTATACTCTCTGGCTGGTAATAGGGACCAATATTATGGAAAAAGGCTATAATTCCACAGCCACCAGAAATGGGAGGGATATGACTTCCCTTTCCTCTCATCCTTCCTTCCTCACAGTTCTTTCCTTGCACTCTCATGTCCTCCCTTGTCCCAGCTTTGGCACTTAACTGGTACTTAGTACCCCAGACTTTTGTGCTTCTATTCTGGGTCTCATTCTGTGTTATTTAGGTGAACTGCAGAGGTTCAGAGGACTGGTGCACATTAGGGGGGCTGTAGCTAGGGACTGGAGGCTGGAAGGGAGAGCAGGAACTCACTTGTTGGTGGTAATTGATTATTCAGAGCTTCTCGCCTGAGTATTTGGACAGGGATCTTAGTGTCTTGTCTTCCTCTTCCTCCTAGCAGCCTGTTGTTGCAGATCTATCAGCATGATGACAAATGATAACCCTCAGTGGTCATATTGGCCAGGACCATCCTTGTACTCATTCTGAATTTGAATTGAATTGAATTTTAGATCACTTTCAGGGAAGTTGACTGGAGTTCCCTTGATTGTCTAAAATTGTGGGTTTATTACTTGTCATCATGGTTTATTTTCTTCCTTTCCTCCTTTCCTTTCTTAGCACTATCTCGTTAGACATTGTGAATATTGATATTTTCAAAGACTATCACTTCGTAGTCTTAAGACCTTGTCTTGATGGTACTAAGTGTTTTCTGACTGCACTTCTTGTCTTCAGTCTCCCCTTAAGTATTGCTGAATAAAAAGAAAAGTTGACTACACCCCACCCTAACCCCATAATTTTTTGCTAAATTGAAATTTGTCTTTGACAAAATGACTTCATAGATCCTTGCTTGAACAGTATTTTTTCTTAAATTGGTAGGTTGCATTTTGTTTTCTATGCTTTTAGTTGTGTAATGAGTGGCGGGCACCTTAGAATGTTGTTTCTGTGGGGGGTTACTTTACTTGTATGTAGACCAAATTAGTGAAGTAATAGCATGAATTAGGGGATAATAGCATTGAAGTTAGGGGAAATTAAGTCTCTGTGACTAACTTGTTGCCTCCACCCACATTATTTTTCTTCCTTTGGTCCCTCTGTCAGCAAGAAGTTGTCTCTGTTTTCAGTGAGCTGTGCTAGAGTAGAAGGAGAAGAAAGCAGAGGGGAGAGAATAGAGAACTGTGTTAATGATGCTTATGTAGCTGTGTGTGTCTGGCAAGTGAAAGGCTCCATTCATGGGCAGTCATTGTTACTGTCCTGCACACACTTGGTGAAGAGGTTGCAGATAAGTTTGAAGTCTGCCATCTGGTCTGGCACAGTTCAGCATCACCCCCCACCCCTCTTTATGTCTGTAACCCAGTTTGCACAGCTGAGAGATTCTGCTCATACAAAGATAATGCAAAATTTAGCTGGTAGCACTACATGATTTAATTGCATTTTTTTTTTTTTAGCTTTTACTTAAACTCATTGTATATTTATACTTGATGCATGAGGGGTAGATCATGAGAAGAAGAGAGTGGCCAGTACAATAAAGCCACATGGTTTTTGCTTCACTCGACAGAGAAGGCAGTGTGGAGTAAATATTAATGTTTCTTTCAGGGTAAAAAAGGGAGCTTTGGAAGCATGACAGTTAGTAGCAATTGTCATGTAAGCTCAGCACACAAATAAATCTGTACTGGCTAAGAGATCCTGTGGGATAAAATGAAAAACTTGAAATGGACATAAGAGAATAATAAAGTTTGTGTTTCATAGCGATTGTGCTATAGTTCTTACATGGACATGCTAGCATTTCATTTACCTATGCAGGGGTGTAACACTGAAACTTTGGTACCCATTTAAAATTATTGAGGGTCATGTTTTATGTGGGATTGCTAAATGTTGCTATGTATGAAAAGGCAGTTAATTAATGTATGCAGACAAATAAACTGATGATATATGTGGTCTTTGTTAGGCAACGGTGTCTTAAAATAGAGCTGGACTGCTGAATCTCATCTGTTATTTGTAGGTGGTTTAAGAAGAGTTGTG